TTAGTTTAACGACTTGGAGATTACGGTTGGACCTATAAATTCCGTAGAGATGCGTCGATTCTGTATGAGATACCTTAATTGGATCGTGCGAACATTTAGCGTGTAGTAACATAACCATTTTATTATAAATAGGATTAATCGACGTAAAGTAAAGAAAAGAATGACAAAAAAGAAAAATAAGACAGAAGGAAAAAACAAGTTATTGATGAAGATCAATTGCGTTTAACCACACGTATTTGCGCTCGTTATATCTATTATAAAAAAAAAAGGAAAAGGATTTAAGCAAATATACAAAGAAAATAAAAGAGAAAAATCAACAACAAATAAGCAAGCAAGCATATTTCCTTCGTTCGAGCATGTATACGTTGGTGTAAGTCTTTTTTCTTCTCTCCTTTAATCTATTATTTTTTTTTTCTTTTTTTCTTTTTTTTTTTTTTTTGTAAGAAACCGTGTTTTCATTAATTATAATAATGATAATCATAATAATAATAATAATGGATAAAAAATAATGTAATAACAATGTATTTGTGAAGTTCACAAAAACGACTTTACGTGTTCTTTAATTCTCTCTCTCTCTCTCTCTCTCTCTCTCTCTCTCTTTCTTTCTCTCTCTCTCTCTCTCTCTCTCTCTCTCTCTCTTTCTTTCTCTCTCTCTCTCTCTCTCTCTCTCTTTCTATATATATATATATATATATATATATATATATATATATATATATATATATTTATCTATCTATCTCTGTCTCTTTCTCTTACTATCACCAATTCTTGCCGTTACCACCCTTTTACCCTTTCCTATCCATTATTTCGACGAACCCATCCTTGTATACCCTCATCGCACCCCGACTTGCCGCATAAAACATGTGTGGTCGTAACGAAAACCTTTCGACTCGGCTCCGACGAATATATAAAAATTTAACAACGATTTTCACGCATGTCTGGAACCCGTTTTTTTCGATCGAACGCGCGCTTCGCTGGCTTCCTGCGTTTTTCGCGCGCTGCTTTCCGCACTCGCTCGAAAATCGGCCGAAGACGCGCGTATTTCGTTATGCTAACCTTAAACACATACACTGCCTCTTTTTATTATAATATAATACATATGTGTGTGTGTGTGTATACATATATATACACACGCCTATCTATCTTACTATCTATATCTGTTGATCTGTCTATCTTCGCTTTCTTTCAGTTGCACTCTCCTAAAAGATCTCCCTCGTTTTTATAAACACAAACGACATCGTACACGTATATAAATGTTATACACAATACGCACACGCTCCTCTCGACTTTTTTCCTTTCGTGATATGGCAATTATTAAAAGGAGAGGGGGAAAGAATAACTAAATATGTTAATCAATCAATCGATCAAGGTAAAAAGAAATAAACGAAGACGAGTACTTCTTGTGAGATGTATCTTATAATGAGCTCTCGAAATAATTTTCCAAGCGAAATCCTCTCTTTTCTTTCTGTTTCGAGAATTAATTTTGCTTTCAAGGAGTAATGGGAAAAGATAAACGAATGTGGGCGTTCGAGTTACTCGAAATTGCGTTTTCGATTTTTCTCTATCTTTATTTTTCTCTTCTCGCTGTTTTTCTTTCTCTCTCGTATTCTTTATGAAGAAGAAGAAAAAATAAAGAACGAAGAAAGAACAGAAGGAAAAAGTATCACGGACAACGATAAAATGTTCGTCATGTCTTCACGAGAAAATTTCTAATCTCTTACGTAACATTTTTTCCGGCTATCGTACACATTACGTCCTGTTCTCTTCTAAACGTGTTCTACTTTTTTCTTTTCTTTTTTTTTTTTTGTTTTTGTTTTTTTCCTGTTACATTAGGAATCAGAGTAAGATAGCGCATTTCTAAAAGGTATTGTAAGCCATAAGTTTTATTATGTTTGTAGCAATTATTCTCGTCGCTATTCTATCGCGCCTTGATCTCGATACGCGAGAAAACTCTATCTTTCTTTTTCTGTATCTCTCTATCCTTCTCGTCACTGCGAAACACCGCCCCAATCGTATACAAAACGAACACACGCGAATCGTTTAACGATTTTACTACATAGATAAAGAACGTGTCTCTATTCTTTTTTTTCGTTTTTGTATTGTCTTTGATCGAACAAATAGCGCATTTCTCGCATATACGTGCGTGCGTGTGTATATAAAAAGAGTATTGCTCAATATTTCGTATACGTGTGTTGTATTAAATTTTATTTCGAAACTTTAAACACTTAGGAACGTCTTAAACAAGTCGTATTAATAAAAAAATACGTTAAATATTTTAAAATATCAACAGAGAAATGTAAGCGCAGTTTTAAAGGTCAAAAAATAATACCTTCCGTGTATGTAAAACCGTTCGTTGAATGGACCTGATGTTTTCAGAACAATTGGCACCGCAGATGAGGTAGTTGCGCACGAGGTAGCGTACAATGCGAATAAGTCGTTTCACGCATATACGGATGTGGGATACTAATTATTTGTAATAATATGCATCACTTATTAAAGAGAAAAGCGAGCGAATTGTCTTTTACAACTTTTCTCGTGACATGCATGATTTAAACGATTGTTTGTATATCTGAATGACAGTCATATACCATTTGTGTTTTTCAACTTCTTATTTTAATAAATATCTAAAAACGTGCGAAGAATATATCGTTTATTCTTTTTTTTTTTTCTTTTCTTTTATTATTATTATTATTACTATTATTATTATTATAAATAATTCTTCATGATTGCATTGTAAATATGAAAAACACAGAACCACCCCACATTCTCGGTGGTTTCGTCGAGGAGGAGATTCATTAAAAGAATAGTTTCATATTGGAAAAGAACAAGGAAGAAAGATGTTGGATGTAATGAAAGATTAGCATTTTACGTATTTATTCTTATTCTTATTATTATTATTATTATTATTATTATTATTATTATTATTATTATTATTATTATTATTATTAATAATGTTAATTTTATTATTATTATTATTATTATTATTATTATTATTATTATTATTATTATTATTATTATTATTATTATTACTATTATTATTATTATTATCATTATTATTATCATCATCATCATCATCGTCTTTACAATTTCTTCATGAAATTCTACTTGGCGATCCTCGCTTTTTCTCTCTTCTACATATCTAATTATTTCCTATTTCTTAATTAGAACGAAAATTTCGATCGAAGTGAATCGATCGATATGAAATTGAAGATAAATATATATGTCGTCCGCCATATTGTGGATGCATCCAAAGATGCAACATCGATTATTTAGTTTGACGAGTTATCGTACGATCATTTTACAATATTCTATTTTCAATATTCTATTCAATATTCTATTCAATATTCTATTTTGCGTGTGATTGTTCGCTGCAAAAATGTATCCATCCTCAGTTTAACTTATATCTTCTTACTTTGAATATAAATGTATTTTACGGTTGGCGCGGATGTTACGTGATGCCGAAAGAATGCAGCACAGCGTCCATTGGAAAAAGGAAGATCTTAATGACCAAAATACACGCGAAAGAAGAGAAGGAAGAGAAACGAGCCGGAAAAAATGTTATACTTGCAAGGACGGAGGTCGATCGCGCAGATCGGTCTCTGAGAAAGATCGATTTCCATACGCTCGCGAAAGCTCGCGAGACCACGTTCGGTAATCGAACGACAACCGAGGATCCAAAGTCTTTTCATAGATCGTAACGGTCTCAGTAGCATCAGACCATAATCGGTGATTCCGTGGCAGTAACGCAAGTCGAGATACTCGATCGCCGTGACACCGTGTTCGACCATTGCCAGAAGAGTTTTATCCGTGATGGCTGTCTTCTCCAAACTGAGATCGGTCAATCTATTCGTGGAAAAGAAAGAAAAAAGAAAAGAAAAGAAAGGAAAGGAAAGGAGACAGCTTTAAACTTTGATTCTGCATATGTCAAACCAAAAAGAGAAAATTCGAATTTATAATCTTTTTTTCTTCACCTAGTATTTTCGAACGCTTTTGAAGCTACAATATATAAAGTGTATATATATACTATACATATATATACCATACATTCAGTAATATACACGGCAAAGCTATTCGCCGTGAGAGTCCCTTTTGCTCGAACACGTGCTTTTTTCATATAGAGAGACAGTAGTAAAATACTATTATATAACCTACAATGTGTATATATATATGTTAACAAAAAGAAACAAAAAGAAAAAACACAGCCACGAGACGTATAGAGACGACTATGACGACAACCAGAACAATAACGCAATATTGACGACAATGAATTTTAGTAATCGTTTCTATATGCCTTACATTTTGGAAAAAATTATAATATATGTATATTATTACTTGTTTTATATATATATATATATATATATATATATATATATATATATATTACTCGTTGGATAATAAATGTGTACGTGTATATGTGTGCGTGCGTGTGTATGTGTGTGTGCGTGCGTGTGTATGTGTGTGTGTATGTGCGCGCGCGCGTGTAATACATGTATTATCCATATAATATATATATATATAAATATGATCGTGCTGGAGCTTTCGATACAATTAATCCTTTATTAAATGTATCGTTATTACGCTTTTATTCGTACGTACGTTGTGAGAAACTTGAACATGGACTCCACAGCCTCGTCGGATATTTGATAACAATCGGCTAATACAAGTTGTCGAAGGTTACAGTTGTACCGAACTAATGACAATAGGAAATCTGTGGTGACCCAGTCACAGCCTCTTAGCCTTACAGACGTGAGATTACGACATTTGGTTATCTCGATAAAGTCGCACCGCATCTGCGGCCCGTTGCAACCGGTCAAGTCCAAATGCGTGAGTCCGGGATTTGAACCGAGAAGGTCGACAAGATGAGAACTTCCGAGCCAGTAGCTATTACTAAGGTCGACACGTCGCAACCTCTTACAGCCTTTTACGAATCCCTTGACAAAGTAAAGAAATATAGATCAAAAAATGCATATGTATAGCGTGTACATAGAAACACGGAGCGTGAGCGGACGAAATTAGAAAAAACAAAAAAGATAAATAAATAAGCACAATCTATTCCTTATATATGTATATAATATACAAGCAAAATCATTGAAGGATTTCGGATTATATATATATATATAAAAAGTCAAACGGAAAGAAAGCGAATCGCATAGGATCGGAATCGAGATGTGTAGAATATCGGGATGACCAAACAAAAAAAAAGTAAAAATAAAAAAAATAATTTGTATACGTGTTCATACACGCGTAAGAGTGACCGGCCATCGATGTCCTCTCAATAAATAAATAACTAAATACATAAATGAATATATAAATAAAAAGCATCTGCAGGTACGGGACGTATGTATACCAGGCACGACTACCACGCTACTACTGCTACTACCCCTTCACGCGCGTGACGAGAAAAAAAACTTGTCTCTTGCCGGCTTCGTCTTCGTCGCCATCGTCGTCGGGTGTCGTCGTCGGTAAAAAAAAAAAGAAAGAAAAAAAAATGCCAAATTACGAAATAAAGCGAAATGAACAAAAACAAAAAGTAATAAAAAATATATATAAAAAAAGCGAAGCGAAACAAAACAAAACAAAACAAAACAAAATAACGAACGACGCGCCAGAAGGGAATGTTTCGAACTATTATGCATATTGTAATATGATGTGTGATGTAGGACTCGATAGCCTTGCTACTACCGAACACCTATGGACTATACTTCGAAGGAGTTGGGCTCAAAATCCGTGTATGAAGAGATGTCCAACGTGTCCCATGTGGCGATGTAATTGTCGACCAGGACTTGGTACTCTGTTGAGGAGAGGCATCGAAGGTTACAAAGGTCCCGCAGATCCAGTCGAATAAAGATGTGCCTGTAGATCACGTCGTACCAAGGCAAGTCCACTAGCCTCAGTATCATTTCTTTTTTAATTCTTTTCTTTCTCACTCTATAACTTTATCTATCTGTCTTTCTAACTATTTTTACAATCTAACTATCTTTCTAACTATCTTTTTATCTGTCTGTCTTTCTGTCCGCTTGTCTATCTATATGTCTCTTTTTTCGACACCTATGATATTTAAAGAAAACAAAACGGATAATAATTATTTTCGTCTACATTTTTACTTAATTTATAATTATCAAAACTTTCATTTTTATCCTCTTTCGAAATCTTTGAGAGATATTTTTTCTTTCTTAGCAAAACCAAGTAGAGAAAAGAGAGAGTGAGAGAGAAACACATCTTGAATCGAGTCCACACACACATATATGTATACATATATAGTATATATATATATAGTGTATATAGTGTATATTCATGTAGATACAAATTTATAAAATCTCTCCGCGATTCTGTGATTTTTAAAAATTGTCTAGAAACGAAAATAATACTGATCTCCCTTTTGACATTCAACAAATTTCGCTTTATCTCTCTTTCTCTCTCTCTCTCTCTCTTTCTATATATATATATATATCTGTCTGTCTGTCTGTCTGTCTGTCTGTCTGTCTGTCTGTCTGATCTTTCTTTGTCTCTTATTGCACTGTTAAACTTTCTTCCGTTCCATTTCTTTCCCAATTATTCCATTTTCCTCAATTCCACGAGTCTTACGAAGCGTCGTTGATATAATTGATTTGACAAACACTCGATTAAATGCGTTTCATCGATACAAATGTTTAGGCGTTTTTTTTATTCTGATTCTTTTTTCTCCTTTTTTTTGGGATCAACCGTGACGAAATAAAAATTGACACTAATTAAATAAACGTATTTCGTGGTAAGTAGACAGGTAAGAAAATAAGGATCTAAAGTGAAATTTATATTCATTACTTAGAAGATAACGCGTGTTATCTTATATCAATGTAACGTGAATTATTACATTTATTTAAGTGTTTTTTCTTTCTTTTTTTCTTTTTCTTTTTTTTTAGATTAATATATTTGCTTTAAAAAATGATAAAAATCAATTGAATATTATAAAAAGACTTCCGATTTCTTCTCTTCCTTGTATTCTCCAATCTCTATTCCCTTTTTATCGAAATTACGATAAAAATCAAGAAAATTAATTATAATAAATTTGTGAAAATGAAAGTTGGCTATTTTAAATTTTATTTTACGATTCGTTGGAAAATATTCAAATGTTAAAAACAAAATGCAAAATTACCGAAGAAACATACGACGATGATATTTGCAGCATTATCTTGCAAATAATACTTGATGTTGTGAATTGCGACATTTAACGTGACGTAATAAAAACGTGATGTAAATTGATAAAGTACAATTTTATATACGATATATTCGTTTTACGAAATAACGAATTAATGCGATACATAAGCGGATAGATTCTATTCCAGTATACATTTTTTCCTCTCCTTAATAGTTTTGAATTACGCAAGATAAAATAGTGTGTCATACTTCGGACGCGAAGTAGATTGAAAATCATTCGAGAAACAACGCACGAGATAAAAATTCTCTGTAAGTTATGATTACATAATTTGAAATACCTACTGGCAAAGTAGTTAGTTATTTTAAGAATATCAAGTACTTCCCCTTCTCACATTATTTTAAACGATCGAAATTTGCAACGTTTTAAAACGAGGTCGATAAAAAGTATGAATTTGAGAACAATTTCTATTGATAATAGAAAAACTTTTCCTTAAAAGATTTTACGTCTAATTTTATCAAGCTCCGATGAATCATAAAGATAACGCATGACCCCAACATGAAGTAGCATCTTTTTTTAAACGATTGTCTACCTACATTTAGCTTACAACGGTTGTCCGTTTCATTGAGCCACGCGCTCTGACGTAAGGATACGCCATCCAACGAATCACTATACAACACACATACATACACACGCATACATATATATATATACACAACACACATACATACACACACACACACACACACACAACACACACATCGGTGGCATACAGTCGCCAGACATTCGCAGTGTGTCTTCAGAAATCCATTTATTCTCATAAGAAATCGTGTACTTCGCCAATGGCAGAAAATTTACGGTACGGTTTTTTTTATTTTATTTTCTTACTTTCTCGATCACTCGCAATTACAAAAATTATCTTCCGAATATCATTTTGGAGAGGTTATGTTTCGTTCAACCTTTGGTCACGATGAGGTTAAGTTCGTTCACGCGTGACGAATCGCGAACATTCGTGTAATTCGAATGGAACGAAACCATGTTCTATATGGGATGAGGAAACGTCCGTTTTCACGTTCCTTGTTTCATCATTCGAATGATTACTCTAGTAACGAAGTGTGAACGCACTCTGACCAATCGGTCCACGAAACTTTGATCCTGTAACGTTCCGAAAGAGGAACGGTATATAGGTTATGTAATCAACAGGGCCGCATCTAGCCACTCCAGTACGTTGTTATTCATTAATATTATTGCTATATTATTGCTCTTTATATCTCTTATAGTTATCATTTTAAATTTATGACAATTCTTTTTCTGTTTTATTTATTCACGATATAGAGAGTTTTTCAATTCAAATGCTTGTATTTTACATATACCTTATTATCAATCGTGAATTCGACAGAAAATATTGCGAGTGATCGAAAATAATGAAGCGATCAATAGAAAAATGTATCAGAAAGTGCCAAATTTTTTCTCAAATGCTTCAGAGAAGGTCTTCTTCTGGGTATGGGAAATCCTCTGCTTGATATATCTGCGACTGTAGACAAAAATTTTCTGGAGAAGTATGACTTAAAAGCCAACGATGCTATTCTTGCGGAGGAAAAACATAAATCTCTATACGATGAGTTAATCAACCTGTATAATGCCAATTTTATTGCTGGTGGTTCTGTACAGAATACAATGCGAGTAACACAAGTAAATTTAATTTAATATTTTTTTCATATTCTGTGGAAAATTTCATATTCAGGAGCAATTTTCTATAACAACTTGTTACTATAGTCGGCATCTATATTTTTTTTAGTGGTTCTTGAAAAAATCAAAAGTTGCCAGTTACATGGGTTGTGTAGGTAATGACAAGTATTCCAAAATATTGGAAGAACGAGCTCTTACAAATGGCTTAAATGTTTGCTATCAATATACGGATAAGGAACCAACTGGGACTTGTGCCGTTCTTATCACAGGAAAGGAAAGATCTCTATGTGCTAATTTAGCAGCTGCAAATTGTTTCTCAACATCGCACATAGAAGTACCGGAAAACAAGAAACTTATAGAAAATGCAGAATATATTTATATTTCTGTAAGTATATATACAATTATTCTCTATGTATCTCGCAACCTTTTGTTGTTTTCTTTTATTAGTCATACACAAGAAAAATTCTATCTTTGATTTTGATATTACAGGGGTTTTTCTTAACCGTTAATCCAGAAGTAATTCAAATAGTGGCTAAGCATGCATATGAAAACAATAAAATGTTTATGATGAATCTCAGTGCACCATTTATACCCGACGTTTTTAAAAAACCATTAGGAGATGTTCTTCCTTATGTAGATATTTTATTTGGTAATGAAGCAGAGGCAGATGTATTTGCAAAAGTCCATGATTTTAAGACTACAGACAGAAAGGAGATAGCGTTAAAGATATCTCGTATGGAGAAGATAAATAAAAAAAGGAACAGAATCGTCATAATTACACAAGGTTCTGGACCAATTCTTTTAGTTAAAGACAACATAGTGAGAGAATATCCTACTACGAAAATCCCAGAAGAAAATGTAATTGATACTAATGGTGCTGGGGATGCATTTGTAGGAGGTGAATTATGTCAAATATGGATACTTAACAATTTGTACGTACGTTCGATTATTATTTTATATAATTCTAATTTATTTTATATCTGCAGGTTTTTTGGCACAACTGATTCAAGGGAAAGATATAGAAATATGTATAAAATGTGGTATTTGGGCTGCCACACAAATTGTACAAACTTCTGGATGTACTTACAATGGCAAACCTGACTTTAAACTTTGATTAAAAATAGATTTATTAGCAATTGTAAATCCAGTACTTAAATAAATACCTTAATAACTATATTATATAAAATCTTTTTATGGCAATGGTAAATCAACATTATTCATGTTAATATATTTGTAATTCATGAATAAATTTTTTTAGAACTTCTCATTTAAAGTTTATTATTATAATGTATGTAATGTATCCATAAGTGATATTTAATGAGTGTACGATAACAGGTCACTAGATAATAAATATCAATTGTTTCTATAATTTGCATTTTTCTTATAAAAATAATGATATATTATTTTCTCGAACGATGAAAAACGTGATTCTAGATATCAGACGAATTAAGTCTATAGATTAGTTTATAAATTAGAAACTAAATTATAGGTCATGATTGAAGGAACTCAAAGTATGGAGAATTAGCCTTAAAAAAATGCACAAGTACATCATAGAATCTAAGAATTTTAATAGGAAGTAACATCATCGATTGCGTTTCTTTACATAATTGAAAGATTGAACATGAGAAGAAGTATGAAGTGCGAATATAATTTTATTTCGTTAACGTCGTCAATCATAACGGCTTTACGTTAGGAAATAAATATTACCGTTACGTGAAGGTATTGATAGATTTATTATGACTAACAGTGAAAAAAGCGATTAACATTATAAAAATAAGTATTGCTAAACGGGCCAATCAGCGTAATCTACTTACGGTCCTAACAGTCCTATACAACAGATCTATAAGTTTTTATAACAATTAGCGACAAAGCATGATAATTGGCTCGTTTCTAGAATGAAAAATAATTTACTACCGCCAATCAGTGTATTCGGCATTACCAACTTGCTGTTGATACCAACATCCCCTTTCTTATTAAAAAATAAAATGTCGGTCGGGTGAAGAATATACGGAGAGAGAGTATCGTGTATGATACTGAAAATTGATTTAGTTAAATACCGACGAGGACACGTATAAAATAACGAACGCATCAACGTTTGAATCGTGATCGTTAATAACGAATTAGTTTGATCCCCTCTTCCATATTTTTTCCTCATTTCGATGATTAATGAATATCGTTGATTTTGCATGAAAATTACCATCGGTGTATGTAAATTTATATTTCAATTGAAGCAAAAAGTTTCGATTATATGGAAAAAAGAACGACGCGATAAGGGACAGGTGTGAGGTGAGTAAAAGCATTACGATAAAACTCCCTAGTTATTATCTACGATCGTAGCAAAGTTGGCATGCCTGACGTCGTGACCGTTTTGGCTTTTGCTCCTGGCTGCAAATCATTCTTCGCGTACGGCGTCGTTTCAGGAGTGTTCGTAATACGTAATTCTTACCCCCCAACTCCCCTCCCTTACTCCCCTCTCTTTCTTTTTAACTCGTCTTCACCGGGTAAAGTGGAAAGGGAGAGAGGGTTTCTGTTAGTGGCACGCAATACCGAGAGACACGCACGTGTGACGCTGGACGAGAGCGAGAAGGGCTTCTAGTCGGTAGAGAGAGCGATTATTCGTGGAGATCGGTTGGATAGGAGGTGATTGGTCGAGGCAAAGGCGCGTGTCGCGCCAAGATACACTCCGAAGTGAATGGGCGCGTTTCATCGTCCGCATTTCGGTGTACGGGTTCGTTATTTGATTCGCTATTTGCCTCGGTCCTCTCCTCGGTTCGTCGTTCTGCCGCGCCGTAGGAGCGCGCAGTATGTGCGCAGTGCGCTCCCACCGCGTGCGCGTAGTGTGTCTAACCCCCGCCGACGACTGCCATCTTTGTCAAGTGGGTAACCTTTGTTGATTTGTGTGAAATGTGACGCCGTTGTCGCGAGATAATTGGTGATCGGTGATTAAGCGCGAAGCGCGTGTCGACGCGATAAAGTGTTTAACGATAGTGTTTTCCCTGGAGTATCGTCGTCATCTTGGATACATCATAAATGGAACTATTTTGACCAGGTAAAGAAACAGCAACAGCAGCAATATAGCAGCAATAGCAGTAGCAGCAACAGCAGCAGCGGTAGCGGTAGTAGCAACAGCGGTAGTAGTAGCGGTCGTATAAACAGCAGAAACGTGAGGAGGAGGAGGAGAAAGATGAGGAATCGATGGAGGAGGAGGAGGAGGAGGAGGAAAGGGAAAAGTGCTCGGCATATATGCGACTCGCAGGATGTGCACGTCTTCTCTGTCTTCAGAGAGAGAGAGAGAGAGAGAGAGAGAAAGAGAGAAAGAGATGGGGATATTGCCAGAGACAGTTGCCGTCGGCACTGTTGTCGTTATCGTCGTTATTCTCTTCATTTTCATTATCATCGTCTTTTTTCCTTATATTCATTGATGAAGATAACGACGACGATGCACTCTAAACGAAATTTCGAGCTCAAGCCGAGGCATTGAAAATTATAGTATGGGAAAACAACCGCGTCATTCTTCGATAATCCGAGGACGCGCGAAAACGCGTGCGAAAAGAGACAGATAGAGAGAGAGAGAGAGAGAGAGAGAGAGAGAGAGAGAGAGAGAGAGAAGAGAGAGAGAGAGAGAGCCGTCTCGTATCGTGCCGTGCCTACTCAAGATGGCTGCCCGTCGGGCTTCGAGAACATTGGTCGGCCGTCGCGTAACACGATGCCTTCTTTCGGGCGGAGAGCGGCCGTTGTGTCGTATCATACGTTCGGTCACTTCATGATTCTTCGGTTTTTCTTTAAGGAAAAAAATACTTTGGAAAATGGAAATAGACGGATTCATCGATAAACGTAAAGATCATTGTCGGCTGGCTCGTTAAGCGACGGAATTTTTCTTCAAAAATGAGCACGAGCCGACGGCCGCCGGGAGGCGGTCGATCGTGCGCTCTTTCTCTTTCTCTATCATCTATCTATCTATCTATCTCTATATCTCGCCCTCTCTCTCCCCCCTCCCTCCCTCTTTCTGTCTCCCCCTGTCGCTGGGTTCATCGATTTTTTCACTCTCTACACTGTCCTGGTTGGCGAGCTCGAAAGTGGACGAAGTGGTGGCCTAGGATAGTTAGTTAGTATTAACAGTTGTATTCGTCCCGTCGTTGTCCTCGTCCTCGTCGTCGTCGACGCGACGGGCGGCGGCAGCAGCAGCTGCTATCTCCATCTCGCTCCCTCTCTGTTGTCTCTATTTCTCTCTCTCTTTCTCTCTTTCTTTCTCTCTTGGTCGCTTACTCGCTCTTTCTTTTTCTTTCTCTTGCTCTCCCCTTCTAGCGCGTACGATCTCGCTCAATCCGTCAGCCACTATCGTCGTCGTCGTTGTCGTCATCTTCGTCTTTGTCGTCGTCGTCGTCGTCGTCATCGTCGCCGTCGTTGTTGTCGTCGTCGTTGTCGTCGTCGTTGTCGTCGTTGTCGTCGTCGTTGTCGTCGTTGTCGTCGTTGTCGTCGTTGTCGTCGTCGTTGTTGTCTTGTCATTGCCGTTGTCGCGTTGTACAAGAGGGCCCAACAAGCACGCACAGCTGGCTGTGGAGAGCGGCTTCTCCTCACCCTCGGCCCCTCGTTCTTCTCTCTCTCTCTCTCTCTCTCTCTCTCTCTCTCTCTCTCTCTCTCTCTCTCTCTCTCGTTTCTCTTCGTTCTCTTATAACTGAACGAGCGAGTCGACGAGTTAAGCGAACGGACAGCGACGGACGCGATCGCTCCTACCACCATGTTCTTCTCTTCGTCTTCTTTCCTTTGGACTAATAAGACAAGGAGACGAGAAAGACGTTGCCTCTCTTTTCCTTTCTCTCTCTCTCTCTCCCCTCTCCCTCCCTCCCTCCGTCTCTCTCTCTCTCTCTCTCTCTCTCTCTCTCTCTCTCTCTCTCTCTCTCTCTCTCCAACAAAATCGCGAAAGTCCTACAGTTGGTCGTACATATAAGTATATACATATATATGTATGTACGTGTTGAACGTAGTAACGATGGATCTCTTATTGTCTCTCTGTCTCTCTTTCTCTATATATATATTCCTCTCAATGTCCCGTTTCTTTTCTTTGCTTCGACAACAAAACTCCATTCGATTTCGCGCTTCTCTAGCAAGTCCAGCCGAATACGACAAATATATATATATATGTATATATATATATACACATGCGTATATATTATATACTTTCTATCCTTTACGAAGTATATATATATATATACGATCTATTCCTTTCCTTCTGACAACATTCGTCGATTCTTCTTTTTTCCTCGTCATTGCCAATCGTATGACACGCGTCAGGTATGCTATATACCATCATGTAAATTCGAAGTGGCATCATTACTTTGAAACAAATTAGGCAATATGTACATCATTTCCATGTTACTACCAGTCCCTTTTACTATGACTTAGTCGCTAAGAATTAGCTGTATTTTTTTCGATTAAAATTTCGATAATTTTTCATATATTGTTTTAATCGTGATTTAATTCAAGTTCGATCACCCATATCATTGTACATTTTTTAGTATATATTGATATTATTGTTATTATGTATAATCTCGTTTTACCCGATTGATACGACACATTTTTAATTAAACCAAAGTGTGCTCGTTGAATATCCATTTTCTCGTAAGCTTCCCTATCCCCCTCTCTTCCTCTGTGTGTGTGTATGTGTGTGTGTGTATGCGCGCACGCGTGCTTGCTTGCGTGTGCATACGGTCATAATCCGTTAAGCTTATAATAGGAAGTTCGTAAAAATAAAATTTAAATTTCGCGGTCCGAAATGAGCTGAAACGAGAAACTCTACAGAATGGCAGATGCGTGGGTGTCAAGCGTGACGTGTGTTCCGTTCGATTTCCATCTTTTTTATCATCTTCTAGTCTTGTTCCCACGCTCGAAAAAAACCCGACCTCGTTGAAATGGTTTGATGGTGTTACGAGGGATGCTTGAGAGAGTCGTCATCATCCGCTTTTCGTCGTTTCTTAATGTGTGTCTGTGTATTCTCTCTCTCTGTCTCTCTCTTTCTCTCTCTCTCTCTCTCTCTCTCTCTCTCTCTCTCTCTCTCTCTCTGTCTCTCTCTCTCTCTCTCTCTCTCTCTCTCTCTCTCTCTCTCTCTCTCTCTCTCTCTCTCTCTCTCTCTCTCTCCGTTGGTACGAAGTAATTAGCGCGAATCGTTGGAGTGGTCCGTT